ATAGGTAGGGCAATGTCCACTTTTGGTGTAGGTCAAGATTTCTGAAAACACCCGAAATCTGGGTTAGCCCGCTTGTCCTTAAAAGCAACCGATTACTGTACCTAAAATCAGAGAAAAAGCTGCCCAATGACATAAAAAGATTTCCATGTCTATCTATTACTGCTGACATATCGTGACCCATTACGTCACAATTGCTTACTCTTAAACCAAAGCTCACGAACTTGGGTCATCATATCGCCCAAGAGTGAACGATTTTGGTAATTGTAGTAGGCGGTAGTAGTCATCTGAATAGCGACAGGTAATCACCCTCTTTAACGTTTAATGGCCCGCTCGGAAAGACATGTAGGTGGGTGGGACCATAATTTAAGCTTCTTCAAGCCACTGATCTCGATCTCAACGCGTTTTTACCCGATTTCATCGCTTTCACACCTTTGCTCCTGGGCCTCAACACTGCAAGGTTTTTCTTTGAAAGTTGGCGCAAGGCATGAAAAAACTTGACAAGCTCTTAAGTTTAATGTAGTAAAGAGTTTTATGGCGTTAGCAAATACATAAGATCATATTATGAGCGCGTATAAGCTCTCGTTTAGATTTTTTTTAAAAATTGGAAAGTCCCCAAAAGACACTTGTAATGACTTATTATGCTAATAGGAGTTAATTTAACTAGGGTAACAAAATAGCTGTTATATTGTAGGATGTACCATGTGACCTGTCTGTTATTTGTTACAGCAGGCTGTTGGCGGATGCTCTCGTGTAGTTTCCTCCTTCTTTCTTATCAAACATCTATCGTTTTCATCTCTCGTCTTTCTTTTTGTGTTTGTCACTCTCTTGTACACATCTAATCTTCGACTCTTATATTACCTGATAGTGTTGCAAGTGCCGAAAAACACTTGCTATAATTTGGTACGATTATTAACTATTACAATTCAAAACTTTTGTTAACTAGAAAATTGCATACTTCAATTATTTTTTAAAGTTTATTTCTTGTACTGTATCGGATAACATTGGGAATGGCGGGGGGAGGGAGGGGGTATTTTAAAAAAATTACCAAATTTCACCAAAAGTTGCAATACCGTTGTAAAGACAGCATGCAAAACTGGAACCCTGTTAGTGGAAAAATATGGAAGCCTTTCTATTTTACGTAATAAAATCTTACTAAACGAGACTAATTTATTACGACATCTGTAAAAACAGTATGGAAAAGAGCAACCTTTACATAATATTCCCCTCGGTTGCTTGACCAGGAATGGTGATTCTATCCTTTCAAACCCCTCACAATTACCTGTAACTACACAGAAGACAGTTATAATAGCAAACGATGTATATATAGATGAAGAATTTAAAAAGTCGCAACCCCCCCCCTCCCCTTTAGTATCCGAGCAGCATTTACTCACACATTGCTCCGAGTCATCAGGTAGAACTGGACTGCTGCAGGAAGTGTCGTCAGACGATTAGAGCCAAGAAACCTGACAAATGATAATAATAATAATTAATAACAACAAGAACAACAACAATAATAAT